CTGTGTCATGGATTTTACTGTTACATGTTATAAAAACAGTATCTTGTTACTACTTTTGCCTTAAATATCAATTACCTTTAAATACACTTAAGTTAAAAAAAATTTACCAACATGATTACCATTTCGAAGGATCTTCTTCATGTGGTATAATTTTCCATTTGTCTGAAGAATTTCCTTTAATTTTTTTTTTCCTGTAGTGCATGTCTGCTAATGATGCATTATTTCAGCTTTTGTACATCTGAAAAATTTGTATTTCACTTTTGCTTTTGGAAGATATTTATGTTGTTTATAGAATTTCAGTGTAACTTTTTTTTTCTTTCAATATTTAAAGATATTACTCCACTGTCTTCTGGCTTGCATTAATTCCAACAAGAAATCTGCTGTCATTTTAGTCTTTGTCCCTCTGTACATATATCTTCTTTTCTCTAGCTACTCTTAAAATGTTCTACTTTTTACTGATTTTAAGCAATTTCATTATGATCTGCCTTAGTGTAGTTTTCTTCATGTTTCTTGTGCTTGGAGTTCATTGAGATAGTTGGAGCCATTGGCTTATAATTTTCACCAAATTTAGAAAATTTTCAGCTACTTCTTTGAACATAGTTTTTGTCCCCCTTCTATCTGTCCTTCAAGGGCTCAGTTACACATATATCAGGCCACATGAAGTTGTCCCACAACTCGCTGTTGCTCTGTCCATTATTCTTGTGTTACTTTTCTTTCTGCGTGTCATTTTGGATAGTTTCTATTTATATGTCTTAAAGTTGACTAATCCTTTCTTCTGAAATATTTAATCTGTCAATCCCTTCCTGACATGGTATTCTTCATCTCAGATATGGTAGTTTTAGTCTCTACAAGTTCAATTAGAGTATTTTTTATTTTGTCTTTCATATCCACATTTAATATGTTCCTGATTTCTTCTAAGTTCTTGAATATATGGAATTCAGTTGTGGTGGCTGTTTTGTTTTTTTTGTTTGTTTTTTTGCTTCTTCGTTTTTTAAATTTTTGGCTGCATTGGGTCTTTGTTGCTGTGCATGGGCTTTCTCTAGTTGTGTTGAGCGGGGACTATTCCTCGCTGCGGTACACAGGCCTCCCATTGTGGTGGCCTCTCCTGTTGCAGAGCATGGGCTCTAGGTGCACAGGTTGCAGTAGTTGTAGTACATGGGCTCAGTAGTTGTGGCTCGTGGGCTCCAGAGCACAGGCTCAGCAGCTGTGGCACTCGGGCCTAGCTACTCCGTGGCATGTGGGATCCTCCTGGACCAGGGCTTGAACCTGTGTCCCCTACACTGGCAGGCGGACTCCTAACCACTGCACCACAAGGGAAGCCCGTGGTGGCTGTTTTAATGTCTTCATCTACTATCTTCTGTGTCATTTTTTGTTTGATTTAGATTAATTTATCTCATTATGGGTTGCAAATATTTGTCCATAGCTTTTTTTTTCACTTATTTGACATTGTCATTCCAATAGCAAAAGTTTTCAACTTTTCTAAAGTCCAATTTATCTTTTTCATTTATGGTCCAGGTTTCTTTCCCTGCTATAAAATCTTCCCTCTCTATAAAATCTTTTGCCTAGCCCAAGGTTACAAATATTTATTTTATACTTTCTTCAAGAACTTTTATAGTATTTTTTATTTTGTTTTAATACCCATTTAAAATTAACATTTATATTATAGTAAAGCATGGGTAAAGGTATTTATTTATTTGGTTACAGCATCATGTATTGAAAAGACTATTGTCTCTCCACTGGATTATCTTTGACCCTTTATCAAAAAGTTGTGTCTATTTCTGGGCTTTCTCTTTTCCTCCACTAATCTTTATGTCCATCCTTACCTCATTATCACACTGTTTTGATTACTGTGGCTCACTTTTTTCTACATCCATTAAATTCATGATTTAACAAATCTGGTGATATGGTAAGTCAAACCGATTTTAGAATGTTGACTCAACCTTTCATTTTTGGAATAAACCTGACTTGGTCATGCATTTTTTTGCATATTATTCAACTCAATTTGCTAACATTTTGTTAAAGATTTTTGTGCTTATGCTTATGAGAGTTATTGGTCTGTAGTTCTCTGCTCTTATATTGTATTTGTCTGGTTTGGGCATCAGAGTAATGCTGACTTCATAAAATCAGTTGGAAAGGGTTCCTTCCTTTTCTATTTCCTAAAAGAGGTTGTTTAGGACTGACATTATTTCTTCTTTAAATGTTGGAAGAACTTGCCAGTGAAACCATCTGGGCTGTGTTTTCTTTATAGGAAAGTATTTTTAGCTACAAATTCAATATCTTTAATAGACCTAAAACTATTCAGGTTATTTCTTCTTGAATTCTGGTAGTCTGTCTTTCAAGGAATTTTTCCATTTCAATTAGGTTATCAAATTTATTTACAAAGTTTTAATTTATTTATCCCTTGTTATCCATTTACTATCTGTCAGATCTGTAGTGATGTCCCCTCTTCTATTCAAGGTCTTGATAATCTGTCTTCACACTTTTTTTCTTATTCAGTCTGGCTATATGTTAATCAATTTTTGTATTCTTCATGAAGAACCAGCTTTTGGGTATGTTGATTTTCCCTACTTTTCTCAATTTCATTGGTTTATGTTCTTATCTTTATTATTTCCTTCCTTCCTCTTGTTTTGGGCCTAATTTGTTTCCTTAAGACACTTAGATTATCAGTTCAAAACTTTTTTGGTTTCTAAAATAAGGCATTAAAGCTTATTTCTCTGTAAGTACTTCTTTAGCTGCAGCTTACAAATTCTGTAATGTGCTTTCATTGTCATTCAATTCAAAATTTTCCTAATTTCCCTGTGACTGCCTCTGTGACTCATGTGTTTAATTTCCCAAAATTTGGGTTTGTCCAGATGTCTTTCTGTTATTGATTTTTAGTTTAGTTTGTTTGTGGTCAGAAAATATATTTTGCTTGACTTTAATAATTTTAATTTTTATTAAATGAACCAGAAAGTGGTCTATGTTTGCCAATGTTCCAAGTATACTTGAAAAAAATTGTATTTTGCTCTTATTAGGTGGTATGTTCTTATTTTATTTTCTTAAATGGTTATTAACTTTTTGAAAATAAAACTTCACAAAAAGAAGAAATATATCACATAAGGTTGGATTCAGAAATCTCATGGTTCAATGCACAAGTTGATTTTGAAAAATCTAAAAATTATTTTATAAAAAGTATTATAATGGTAAGTAGTTCTCGGTATGAACTTAATGATGTATATGTACATACAATTAATAATGACATAAGAGACCAAGCACCAGAAAATAGACGCAAGTAATGAATAAGTTACCTCTTACTCACATGCTTACCTCCTGATCTGTTCCCAGTATGATCCAATGACTCATAATCTATACTCTAGCCACACTGGTTTTATTTTAGTTCTTCCAAGCAACCATGATCTTTTCTTGTCTCAGGATTTACTGAACATATTGTTTGCATGGAGAATACTTTCTCCCTCTTTTCGTCTAACTTCTCTTCAACTTTCAGAAGTGATCTTGAATCCACTTTCCTCAGGAAGCCTTTCCTGACATGCTCCCCAAAGTTCAGATCCTCCTGGTATACATTCTCATGGCAAACGGTACCTCTCTTTCACACACCTTACTATGACTGAAACGAAAAATATAAGGCCAGATTAGTCAGTTATCAAAGATGTTATAACTTCTCAAAAGGTACAGAATCATCTTTTCAAAAAAGTTACCAAAATGAGACATGGAGTGACCAACTAAGCTGACTTAACTAAAATGTAGTTTTTATTGAATAGAATTTCTATTTTGAAGATTTATATGAAAGCAGAATTACGTCATCAGAAGAATAATGAATGTATCAGTCTTCCATATTACATATCTAATACATCCAAGAGACTATAACTTATAAAATGTTGTACACAGCAGGGCACACACAAAACCAATCAAAATGAGATATCCCATTTCTCTGCCTACACAGATCCAGACAAATGGATAAAGTGTCTGTTTCTCTAAGACATTCCTTGCCGTAGAAAGGAAAATCCATATACAAATGGCACGTTTGGCTCAAATAACTTTTCTTTTCCAAATTGAATCTAAAAATTAATGTTTTAGAGTCTATACTTTCTTGTAAACTTTTAGGCAAAGAATTTGGGTGAAGGGAGTGAAAGGAAAATCTTCATCTTTCATAAACATTTGGAACCTTAATTTCTTTTAAATAGCATTTAATGTTACTAGGGAACACTTGTAGGAAAATATATAGAGCTTTCCTGGCAATGGAGTTGGAAGAGCTGCCTTCCCCATGTCTCTCAGGCTCACTTGGTAAATTGTGTGCAACACTTTTAGACAGACACTGGCACTCATAAATTATACAGCTCATCTGCATCTTCCAGTCATGAGACATTATGCAAAGTGACATGATTTGCATAATGGATTCCTTTTGTCGCCTCACTTGCCGCATGCTTTTAAAAAACAAAATGAAATAAAATGAAAGCATGAAAAGGTGAAAGCATCAAGTTTCCAGCCTTGCATGTCTCCTTCCCAACTACAGTATCAATTGCTTTCATTTTCTACAGGGGATTGGGGTGAAGGGGACAGAAAACAAAAATCCACACTTATAAACAAAAAAGCAAACAGCTTTCATATGAATTTCGTTTTTAATTACAATGTACCTACTTTCTTAGTGAAATTCTTCACCATAAATAATGAATCTGGGTCATGAGGAACAGCAACAAAACACTGATAGAGAGAAAGGAACTTTATGGAACTTTCTCCTTAAAAAAAAAAAAAACTTCTCCTTTGCCTGTGATATTTAGGAAAGAGGTAGCCTTCCTCCTTATGACTTGAAAAAAAAAAAGCACCAGGTATTTGCTTATTATTGGAAACAAGCATATTATGGATAAAATAAATGGTCTGGGGGAGGGTTTATTTCCCCCATAAGAACTTCTGAAGGGTTTTCCTGTTTTGAAAGATGAATGGAGAAGAAGATAGAGCTGTGCTTTGATTACTTAACAAAATATAGAATGGCTATATACTGTAAGGATGAGGCAGCACCACGTCGACTTCTATCGGCTCTACTCCAATAAGCAGGCAACGTTCCTCAGCAGTTGCTAGTTTTGCTGCGGGCTTTCCCGGCCCCCCTGCACCAGTGCGAAAAGCAGAGTGTGCCAAGCGGCTGGCGTCTGTACCCTGTGGGAAAAGTTAACTGTAATTCTTCGGCTTTTAAAATCAATTAACCCGTGTGTTAATTAACGTCAAGTCGACGGGAGGAGGAGGAGGAGAAGGGGAGGGAGGGAGGAAAGAAAAAAGCTGCAAGGGCGGATGGCAGAAGAGTTGGCACAGTGCCATCCATTCAGGGGCAACGCCACAGTTTCGTGTGATAGGAGCAGCGGGTATATGTTACGGGGGCCCTGTACGCGGGCCAGACAGTGCGGTAAAGCCAAGGGAGATTATCCAGACCCCCAGGAGCGAACAGCAAGCAGCAACCGAAGGCGCAAGTGCCAGGATTACAGCCTAGGCTGGCTCCAACTATGAGCCCCTCCTCGGATCCAGGGACTCGGCTACTTGGGGTTTGGGGGTCTTCCACACCAAAGAGGCACAAAGCTGACTTTAATCACTTTTTTCCTTTAAACTTGATTCTGCCGCACTGGAGCCAGCACAGCGAATGCTTTCACACCCAGCAAGACAAAGGCCGTCGTCTCCGCCATGACACTGTTCCGTTCCAAGCAGAGGCCGGGATCCTGGACTCCTTGAAAAATCAGAAAGAAACAAGGAAAACATACAACAAATACAGCAACAAACAAAAAAATTAACAACCACAAAAGTTGTGTGCCCATTTGCCCATGCCAGGGGTGATCATCTGGGCATCTGTTGCAGCAGAAGGCACTTCTGTTGGGCTTTTTTTTTTTTTTTTTTGGGTGGGGGCAAGCTGTTGGCTTGTTTGCTATTCAACTTCGTTTATAATTAACTTTTAAAAAACACCATTCAGCCTAGTCAACAACAAACAAAGAGAAAAAGCAGACATCGGAAGAGAAATGCCATAGGAAGCGGTATGAATACATGCCACAGCCGGTGCCACTTGCCATTCGGAAAACCTCAGGGAAAGATGCCAATTCTACAGCTTGGAAGAAGGCAGAAAAAGGAGCAGAGAGATCTACAAACAGAAATCATAAGGAAAGAATACTGCTTCTACAATCCTGGATTGCAATTGCACGCAGCTTCTGCTGGGAGGAGAGAGGGAATATTCAAATGGAGATATAGATGGGTATAAATTAAAGGATAGGCACTTATCGATTGCATATAGACACGTGTGTAAGGTTGTATGTGTATATAAATACACATATTTTCAGGCAATTTAAACATTTAGATATGTATATATTTTTGTGTTGTAGGTATGGGTATGTATACTGGTGTATATGTTTATGCATATACACACATATGTGGGATGTATGCATGTGTGAGAAAAAGGAGAGGAAGGCAGAGAAAGAGAGTAGGAAATGTGTGTATGTGCATGTATGTGTGTGCATACATCCCACTTTTTGACCCAGGTATACACAGAAAGCAAAATAAAAATCATACTCCAGCAGCAGGCAGGCAGTCAGAGATTTATCTACATTCACTGCTATCACCAGGGAGATGAATGGGGCCGATCTGAAGCCCTTTTACAAGATCCACTATGGGAGTGAAGGAGGAGGAGGGATGCCACACAGACATGCACAAACTTGAAGGCAGAGGGATTTGGAAGGTGCTACTTAGGAAACCCTGGTGGCATAACGCAGGGGAGAAGAAGGGGAAAGAGGCTTGTCTCTCTCTATGTTTTAGGTGGTTGTTTTTAAAAAAAATCTGAATAAGGGTTTCTGGAAACGACTGGTACTTACGTTGTCTGCGTTGCTGTGGATCCTGAAAGGTGTTCTGTTGGCACCGGGCGCTGAGCCAGGGGCAGGTGCTGGAAACAAAAGGGAGAGACAAAAAAATAAATAAATAAAGTCATTCAATGGGAATATTAATTGCTGCTCTTGTGGATTTTACAAAACACACAAACTGTTTTTTTTCTTTTTTTAAAAAAATGTGGATTGGCGCGTGTCCCTTTCGCATGGAATATACAAGTAGTATGGGATTTACAGCCCAGAATGGGACTCAGGATTAACCGTGCTGGCATTTTTTGGGCATATTCTTCCTTTTAATGAATGAGCTTTCGCTGTTAATGAGGAATAATCGTTTGGCTAATGAGCTTTGAAACATTAAGAGAAAAGAGGTTTTTTTCCGTTAATCGCTGTGGTGCGACTGCATGGATGGATTACAAAAGACAGCAATAGGAACGCAGTACAAAGGGGGGGAACCTCTCCTGGAGTGGGAGAAGCACCGAGATGGGTGATGTGTCCCTGCGTCTTTCCTTCCTTCTCTCTCTTTCACTCTCTGCCAACTGCTGTGGGTTTCCATAACTCCGCAATCAAAGTGGATGGTCGGGAAGGATTATTACAAAGAGTGAAGCCTCCGCTGCTAATGTCTCCAGTGTTTAATCATCATACAGTAGAATGGTTTTATGCATATTTCATTTGCATATCATTAAACTGTGTTAGCGAGTGGCATTCAGAGCCAGGAGAAGTACAAAGTTGGGGAGAGAGGGAAGAAAAAAAGGTCCCTATGATGCTTATCTTCAAACGGGGAACTTGTTCCATGATCTGTCTTCTACTTTTGCTAAAATCATTATGACTTGGAAACCTTTGAAGTTGGATACAACCTTGGATTCTTCTAATTCCTGCAGAGCGGTATATTTTTAAAAACAGCAGAAATGTTCCTGCACTAGACAATTAAAGGAATATAAACTCCAGTGGGTTGAAACTAGTAGCTCTTTGGGGAATGCAGTGGCAGAGGCTTCTACAAATACCAACACTTAAAAAAAATTAAAAAGAGCATCATATTAAAGCAAAGAAAACGAAGACTCCAATATTAACATGTGGATTATATTTGTTTCTTTTGGGGGGTAATGAACTAAACAGAATGAAGAAGCCATCGGTAATTTATCCCTTCGTTAATGAACAGTCACCTTTTGTGCGTGTTTGTTTTTTGTCCTTTCTTTTTGAAGAGGGATGTTGTCACTTTTAAAGTGATTAGTCAATTATTCTGCAGCTTTGATTTTTTCCCCTGCACCCGACAGGAAAAAAAGGTGGTAGTTAGGGAATATGTGTGTATTGGGGGGATTTGTGGGGAGAGAAGGAATACAGTGAGTTCTTTGTAGATCCAATACATGCACAACATATTAATTGGGAGCTTTTAAAGCTCCCTCAATGGGCTATTTCATTCCTGGAAAAGTAGCAGCTGGTTAGCCACTGTTGGTGACTCTTCAAATAACACTTTAAGTATTTTTATTCTGTCGCTGTTGTTATTGTTGCTTTGTTTTGTTTTTCCTCAGTCAAGATGAGAATATAATGTCACCTCTTCTTTATTGAGTGTCTTCTCTCCTCCATCTTTTTCCCTTCCAATTTCCAAACTGTAAAACGATGTTGCTTAATATTGAATTCTGGTGCACAGTCTAACTGGCACAAGTTGATTTGGAAATGAGATGCTGTTTTATATTCAAATTATCCCCGCTCCTCCCTTATCCTCTAAAGCTTTGTCTCTGCTATGAATATTCAGATGAGGCATGATGTGATTACACTGTACAATTACTCCTATCCATGGTGGTGGCAGGGGCTGCTGCGGAGGCAGAGAGCCAGACAGCCTCCAAGCCAATACGGAGTTTGTTTTCGGTATTTTTCCTATCTCCTTGGCGCTGCAGCACATGCAGATGTCGCTGTTGTTCTTTATAAAGCTCTAATGATATGCAAAAGCATAACTACTCGGTTTGGATGCAAAGCATCAATGAAATGTTATGGATGTCTTTAAGAAGGGGAGAGAAAATCCTGACTGAAGGAATGTCCACATAAATTATTTTTATTTAAATCAATTCAAAGGATGGGGTGAGAGCAAGTCAGAAGGAGTTACATGGAAAACATGCATGATATTAATATGCATAAAGAGTTCGCACCGTGGAGAAGAAGCTCCTCACTACAGCTCATGGGACAAACTGGTTCATTAGGAGATAGCTCAGAGCGACTACAGCATTTTGCTATTTCAATTTTTTCCTTATTTTAAATGAAGAGTCAGACAGATGTGTTTTCTTTGCATGGCAGAATCGAGATGGATCCAATCTGTGAAATTTGCTGCCCAAATAGTATTTTAATGGAAACTGGAATTAAATAAGGGCATGGATATGGAAGGGAAGGGAGAAGAGAGAATATACGAAGAGGAGTATATTCAGAGCCACAGCATAATATTTTGTAGTACAGGAGGTTTTCAGAGACCATCTTTGCTTCTTCATTAGTCTCAGATGGGGCTCCCATTACAGGGAGCTATCAGGGTTTGCCAAGATGAGCACCGAGACAGGCCCTTCTAGGTCTGAGGCTGAGGAAAGCAGCGGCAACTTGGTGCCTGCCCCCCGCAGCTGTCTACAGCTCGGAAGCCAAAAGCACAGCTACTCCTAATTTGGGGATGCAGTAGAGTGCCTCCTGGTCCAGGTATTTGTGACAGAGGGAATTCTTGGTGCTATCATAGTATATGTTGCTAAAGAGCAGGTGGAATCATCTGGGTGCTTAAGCAGGCCTGATAATGTTGGTGCTGGTTAATTCTCAGAGTAAAGATTACTGTGGTTTTCTAACATTTTCAGGATGTGAAAATTACCAGTGTGGATTAATGCATGTTTATGATGAATAGAGATGAACAAATAGTGAATGAACCTATTGGGTGGATTCAGAACTGATATAATATTTGGAATATTACTAATGGCCTCAAAGAATTCATAAAGAAAAACAAAGCAAGAAGCAGCAGTCAGAAAAAAAGAGATTTCATTACTTCCCTTAGTCAGGTGGACATAGTTCAAATTACTTTAATAATTCAGGTTAAAACAATTTTATACCTCTGTTTAAATTACCTAGAGACAGAGACAGTTTCGCTCTGCTTTGTATACCAGCACAGATTTCTATTTGATGGCATAATGTTGACTTGAAACTGTTCTCTGTTTATATATGAGCATGTAAGCATGTTATAAATTCTGTTGCTCTTTGCCCAAACTTCCATTTATGAGTGTCCTTTATAACACACCCTCAATTGTTACATGCTTCTTAACTGGTACAGTGTACCAAACTACAGAGTACAATGAATTAATGTGGAGAATGGCTATTTAATCTGAATCAGGCCTGTAACTTCTTATCTTTTCTATCTCTGTTGACAGAATTATGGGTATTAAATTTTGAAACAATGCATGTAAAGAATTTAGCACAGTATTTCCACATAATAAACACTAATAATGTTAGATTTTATTGTTGCTATATTATTATTTCAGTGTATTGGTTAGTATTAGAGAGAAATAAGGTAAAGGAAATAACATTCAGTCTTTACTGCTACTACTAAATAGCAATGCAGGTAAAAGATTTAGTGAGAAAGCATTCAATAGGTATCTATGGTAGATAGATTATGAATTATAAATAATCAAAAGTCAAACTACAGCTCATATTAATGCAGTTCATGATATACCCATGAAAGTGTTCCTTTAAAAATGTATGTGTAATTCTGAAATGATGATCATGTTGCATAATATCTAAGTCTAATAAGAGAGTCCTATCCTGTTTGCGGTGGAGGGCTATGGGAACTAAGAGGAGAGCTGTAGAACTGAGAGGTGCTCATTATTTACCAAATTGATAGGGCAATGCCAACTTTCAGTCTTTTTTATTTAAAATTATTTTTTAGCATATATATTTTCTATTATTATTTTTTTGCGGTATGCGGGCCTCTCACTGTTGTGGCTTCTCCCGTTGCGGAGCACAGGCTGCAAACGCGCAGGCCCAGCGGCCATGGCTCACGGGCCCAACCCGCTCCGCGGCATGTGGGATCTTCCTGGACCAGGGCACGAACCCGTGTCCCCTGCATCGGCAGGTGGACTCTCAACCACTGCACCACCAGGGAAGCCCAGCATATATTTTTTTAAATTAATTAATTTTATTTTTGGCCGCATTGGGTGTTCATTGCTGCGTGCGGGCTTTCTCTAGTTGCGGCGAGCGGGGGCTACTCTTCGTTGCGGTGCGTGGGCTTCTCATTGCAGTGGCTTCTCTTGTTGCGGAGCACAGGCTCTAGGCACGCCAGCTTCGGTCATTGTGGCATGCAGGCTAGTGTGGCTCGCGGGCTCTAGAGCGCAGGCTCAGTAGTTGTGGCACACGGGATTAGTTGCTCCACGGCATGTGGGATATTCCCGGACCAGGGCTTGAACCTGTGTCCCCTGCATTGGCAGGTGGATTTTTAACCACTGCGCCACCAGGGAAGTCCCTCAGTCTTTTTTTAAAAAAGGTATTTCTGAATAGGTAATACATTAACTATTATTCAGAATTGATAATTTAATGTAGAAAGCAAAACGTCTCCCTCCTGCTCCTCTTCTGGCCATGATTTTCTAACCTCACCCCCAAATTGGTAATCAGTTACTGGTTTCTCGTTTATCCTTCCAGATATTGATATATTATACTCAGATATGCTTTCCCTCCCATTTTTTTACACAAATGGTAGCTTTTACAAGGAATCCTTATAATTTTCTACAAATGCAATGAATTAAACTGTAAATAGATAGCTTAAGTCTTCATTTCCAGTAACCATGTCCACTAATTTTTGTCTTTAACTTGGTAAGGACATCTAGAACAATGTTGAATAGAAGTGGTGAGTGGTGAAAGTGAACATTCTTGCCTTGCTTCCAATCTTAGGAGACATCATTGCCTTGTTCCTGAATTTAGGAGAGAAAGAATTCAGTCTTTCATCATTAAGAAAGATGCCCTTTATCAAGTGGAAGAGGGATCCTTCTATTCTCAGTTGCTAAGAATTTATTTTTAAATGGTTGTTAAATTTTGTCAAATGCCTTTTCTGCCT